CTCAAAGATTCGAAACAAAGTATAAGGTGTTGGAATGCTTGCCAAAACAGGATGTCTGTTTATATATTAACGAATTGTGATTGATCTGCTCTCTTGCATTTATTTGTATTCTAATTTGCAATTGGTCTTCATCTATTTAAATCTCTATACATTTACACGATTTTCTTCCTTGCAACCACTGTTACTATATATATCAAATATATATTAAAAAAACGATTTAACTTGATAATTGTCGTTGGTGGCGCTTGGATAGGACCCCAAAAACAAATGATTTCTCCTCTGTTGTATCAGCCATAGCAGGTTTACACTCTTCCACCTTGAGTTCAAGCTTCAAACACTAAATCGAAAATGGTGAATAGATAGATAGATAGATAGATAGAACGATAGATAGATAGATAGATAGATAGATAGATAGATAGATAGATAGATAGATAGATAGATAGATAGATAGATAGATAGATAGATAGATAGATAGATAGATAGATAGATAGATTTAATAAGCATGGCTGCTTAACTAAATCAAACATCCTACTTGGAATAAAATGTAATTGTTATGTTGACCACCAGATAGCGCTGCAGCTCCACTGCTTGAGCTCAGCTGAAGACTGCTGCAGCATGACAGCAACCTACTGTGAGGTTTAAAACTAGATGTTAGAAGTTATACTTTGTAGTCATTATATCTGAATAAACTTTACAGCTCTGTCTAAACAGAAATACTAACATTTCTGCATGCATGTGAAGTTGGTTTAAAACGTCTTTATTTTACCTAGTGGTTTTATGAATGGTAGAGTCAGCAGGAGAGAAAGAGGGGCCCCCTTTTTTTTTCTTTTTTTTTTGCCAGTGAGGATAATCATATTTTCCGCCAACGTTGCTGCCCGATGCAACAATAAAACCTTGGTAACTTCCTATCATCAAAAAGAAATGAAACTAAGTGACAGAAGGGCCTTGAAGGTTACACTGAAGAATAGCTCATATTAGTGTGTGTTTTTAAAAGTTGCTACATTACCTGAAGGCCTTTAGGCTCTGCAATTTTGAACATGCATTTTGTCATTAAAAATGTGGCTGCTGCGGTGTAGTCGATGGTGTCTGTCTGTCGGTCATCCATCAAAAGCTCTTGAAAGTGACATGAGCTACATTAATGATGTTTGCATGCCTCACTAACACACCCTCAGAAGTGTTTGTGAGACAGAATCCGCTTGGAACCGAAATGATGAATGGCGACCCCCTCCTCTTCTCTTTTGCGCACGCCACCTCATTTCCAGAACGGTTCCTTGTTATGACATCCCGGTAAAAGACAGCCACAGAGGTCTCTCACCTCGACGCTAAATTCAATCTAATGAATGCAGACCCCAGCGCTCTCGTCGCTGAAAAGAGGCCAACAATTTAGCAATTTCTGCTGCTTGTGACTAATTCCCATATTTAAATGTGAACAGGCAAAGCTGGCCCATTTGACGGCAGCCAAGCGCATTTTATCAGTTCAGAAAGACATCAATGGCACCGGGGGTATAGAGGTGGCTGGGACTGTTTAACTGTGCAAAATTCAATCAAAAAGACAATTCAGAAGGCTGTTGAAAGCTGTTTGGAAAGCGCCGCTGAACGCATACAGGCGGATACGCGAGGGTGTTTTTTCTAGCATTATTGTATGTCTTGTCGCTTTATATCAGTTTACAAGAGTTAGCAGTTCTAAGTCAGCCCTGTTCATTATTTCTCGGCCTCTTGACACTGCAGGTGCAGATTCGGATAGCGCTTTGTCCCTGTGGTATGGAGTGATTCAGTTCTGCGTGAGCAACATCAAACTGTGTGATACTGAGTAAAACACTCTCTCTTTGTGAGAAGTGTAGTTGTGAGGCCATGGCATATTGCGTGAGGAGGGTCTTATTAGATGTTTCCTGCGGTTATTTTTCTGTTTCTGTGCGCGCAAACTTGGGTAAAAGCGAGATCAGTTGCTGGTAAACAAAGCTGCTCTCACACAAGCTAAATGTCCTTTCTGGGTACATTACATTGACACGTAATTATGATTTATACCCGCTGTATTTCGAAGATATCATTGCATAGTTTGTAGAAAAAACAACAACAGCCAGAATATTGCCAAAAGCACTAAATGGCACGTCTTCTGAGAGGCATGCGAATGGATAAACAACAGTCACAATATTAAAACTTCTGTTAAAAACCTGTTCATCTGCACAAAACGTATCCATAAAAACCGCCAGATTTCCAAAATAGGGGGGTGGTGGGTGGGGTCAATTCTCAACATATTTAAAGCATTTTACGCCTAAATAACTAAGGGGACTGCAACTGGTGTTTAATTAAAATGCAGAATTTTGCTTGACTTTATGTGATTTTGAGTCTTGTACAAAAACAAAAAAACATTTTCCGAAGAAACTGCTTGAAGGGAGAAGCTACAGCGAGTCACTACCACGAGAGGATTAATCGGTACATGTGTGTCTATTTAGGTTAACATAGAGTATTGTCTTTATTTATTATAAATACCGTATCAAATGTAGCTAAATCGTGCTTTTAGAATGTGGGAAAATATCAAGTTTAAACCTCGCTTCGAGTTTGTGTGACGCGCTGCGAGCCACGCGATTCCCAAGAAGCTCTCATCGAGAGGCCACGTGTGCGTTTCCAAAGCCTCTCCAACTTAACCACCTCCATTGTACGTCTAACCCAGATCGGCAGCGTCCCTCCACATAAAGGGATTTGCAATTTCAAGATATTCCAGCTTAAATGTTTTTGACAGCTCCCTCGCTTTTGCCTCAGCCTGACATTATTGAAATTTAAAGTTGTATCTGTTAACATTAGTTAATGTACTATGAATTAACATGTACATGAACATTTTTATTAACTAACTTTAAAAGAGATAAATAAATGCTGTAAAAAATATATTGTTCATTGTTAGTTCATATTAGTTAATGCATTAAGTAATATTAACAAATGAGACCTTATTGTAAAGTGTTACCAAAACTTTTTATGATCTAGAAGGATTTTTAAAACTGATTTTAATTATCTATAAGCATTTGTGAAATAATTATATAAAACTATATTACCAGTACTGTACATATTAACTTATTCTATGTATTAGTTTGTCATTCTAGCTAATTGAGCTGAGCCGTAAATGATCAGACTTAAAGGATTACATATCCCATGACAACTATAATATTACAGCCTTCATCTGTCAGCTGAAATGTCTGATAGTTTTAAGTTTTTTTGTTGACCCCTGAGCGTTATAAATGTATGAAACTAAGCATGTTTCCTCAGAATGACTTGTTCTCCATAGTTGGCAATAAATAAATTGTACTAATTATGTTTAAATGTACTGTTACAAATGACTGATGTCTGTCTCTGGATGTTATTATTTATTACGTGAGGTATGAGTGACCTAAAGACTTGCAGAGCTCCTCTAATGCTTCTGCCTTCTGTCCACCCATGACAGAGGCAAACCCAGGCAAGAAAACCACTCCAGGACTCTTCCCTTTCAGTTTCCTATAGGCCAGCTTTGGTAGATCAGGTCGTGTAGCATACTGAATTGTGGTCTTGTGTTGAACACCTAAAACACAGAAAAAACATTCATGGTGCTTATTGATATGAGATTCAGTGGTTGCCATTTTTACAGTACCTGAAAGGCAACATACAGATCTTCTTTCTATTATATCTTATATTCTACCGATATTCATCCGATTATATCTTCTGAAGCAGTATTTTTTTTTCTTCGGCGCAAAATTGAGAATAAATAAATTAAAACTTAAAACTCCCCCAGGGCGCGTAGCTACCCCCGGGCTATTGAATGGATAAGAGCGCTTCGCAGAAGACGCACGGTGCAAAATGAGACTGTATGGTGTAATTAACAAAATGGCCTATATCTTCACAGATGCAAATATTAGAGTTTTGTTCACATGTTTAAGTGGACAATCAAGCGCGCGTTTCCAAGAGCAGTGCGCTATTCCGAGGACACAATGACTGGAATAATTTAGTAAATGCGCTGATCTTACCAGGTCCTTTGTGGACGACACCGATGGCCGACGATGGATTCCCAGCAAAGGAAACAACATTTAAAACCAATTTCAACGATTAATAGATCAACGGATAATAGGACGCATCGAAACCTGCGTTCCAGAAGCGCGTTGCTAAAAACTCGATCTGAGCTCCAGCTCTGCTGCGCGTAAAAGTGAAAGGCTGGAATGCCGTTTTCACGTAAATAAAAGAACGTGTATGTTTCCTTCTTCCACAGACCACACGCATGTTTCTCTTAAATTACGAAAGGCATCCGTTTCTAAAGTCGACTCGAATGAGAATTGATTTTGGAGACCTTGAGCAAAAAAAAAAAGTTATATTGTATGAACTAATTCATTATTTAGTAAATTTTCAGTTCATACCACAGACACACATGTTTTTTTTCCTCCTTAAATAGGCAACACATAATAAAATAATCGTTTTTCTTATACAGCTCCGATCACAAACGCAGCATGCAAACACAGTAATCGCCATCATCACCAAGTGTCCGCCTAGACCCCTTTAAATAAATTTAAATATAAACATCGATTAATCTGTCTCGTTGACTCGCATATTGTATTCATTTGCGTATTATTGTCTGTGTATTAATACACTACTTTGGGTTTTATTAACCCGCTCTCACGAGACTGTTAAGAACCGTGCGCTAAATGGCTCAGTGTTTAACGGAGAGGCCCCGCGCCTGGGGGCGCTTTCAGCTGCGTCCCCAGGGAATGCCACAGGGAGCCCGATGAATACGCGTCTCCTTGGACTTCTTGACGGAGATCTATCCCGAGGCACTCGAGTTGTGAATAGAGGAGCGCGGAGATTCTGTCATTTAGATACGCGTATAAGCGCACCCTCGAACTCTAGGTTGGAATTTTGTATAAACGTTTTATCTCTCTCTCTTTTATCAGTTGTTATTTTACTTAGACGTTGTAGTCATCTTTTACAGACGGTCACAGACACTCCTGTTTCATCCCGTTTAAGACCTTATAAATGCTTATTAATACGAGTCGGCGCGCGCTCAACACGCGCTGGTCAGCTTTAAATTACGCATTAAGGTTTACTTCCCATGGCAAGGACTTTATGTAAAGATACTTGATGTGAAGATGCTAAATATTAAACCTTTCATTGGACACGTTTTATGGATGCTTTCCCCCGAATTATTAATGTTAAGCAATGCGATCCCATCGCATTTATAAAGTGTCTCATAATCTTGCAGTCATGATATGCTGCTCTATTCTGATATATGTGATTTATTTATTTTTGAGTATATGTGTTTTGATTTTTTTTGAGGGAAATAATTGCGTTCAGAATTGCACGAAGATGGTCAGAATGTTCATCCTCTATACGCGCTTT